TGAATAATGCGATATGCTTCACCTTTCAACGAAGCCTTCAAATACTGCAATTTTTGAGCATTAGATAAATTTGTATTATTTCTTACACAAGCACTGAAAAGATCTTTAAAAGCTATCCATTCTGTAATATTACCACCAAAAGTCGGTAATGTTAACTTGGGTAATTTAATATTGTCAAGAACCTGTTCTGAAATTACACTATTAGAATTATTTTTATTATTTTGATTTTTTAATATTTTTTCACCTTTAAATTTCCACAAATAAATTTTATCTGTGTACTCCTGAACATTATCTATTTCGTTTTTCTAATTCTTTAGTATCTGTAATTAAAACTTTCGATTTCAGAATCAAGCTTCCTTAACTCAGTTTCTTTTTGTTTCAATAATTGACACATTCCTCTAGTTCTATTAAATTAATTTCATCTGCAGTTAAAATAGTTTCAATTTTCTTTACATAATTAGTAACACTCCTGCGTAAGACCGCTCTTTTTGTTTTAAAAGTTATAAGTTCACTCATAATTGATCAATTCAAAAACAGAAATTGTTCTTAAATCACTTAACACTATTATTAAAATGAAATCGAATTCTATGTTGTATTACAACATTGTTCTTAAAATTTAACAACAAATTAAACGAAATTTTGTTCAAAATCCACTTACCTCACAAAGTGGATAATTTTCACAAACCATATGCAAATTTGAGTTGTTAGAATACACTTAGAACAGTCACTATCTTCACTAGCTCTCCGGCTAGACTTTTGACCAACAATATATGTTCTATTAAACTTAATATGTTTCACAAACTATAATCAATCAACAAATGGACTGTATTCCTACACTTTCATTAAATTACACTTGTCAGCGATGCAAAATAATTGATACAAAATAAGCGAGCCATTCTACATGGCTGTCACAAACACAATTCTATCAATCAATTATCTTGTTGCCACACATAAAGTTCAAAACTAAAGGAAGAAAAACAAAAGGAATTTACGCTGTTTGCAACAATAAAATGAAGCAAACGATACTCACATAAACAACATGAAAATAGAAAGAAAAGGGTTTATATAAAATAAGCTTTTATTTAAAATATAATATAATTAACGAATTAAAAGAAGAAAAATAATTTATCGTATATTTTAGTGGGAAAAAGAAAATTAATAATTCGCTTTTCAAAACTCATCTACAATTTTATATCACTAAAAACAAAATCGTGGGAGCCTTAATAACGAATTTTATTAATTGAATTGCATTGCCAAAATTATAAGTCATATCTCTGTATAAAGTGTTTCAAGATCAATCGCCCGTTTTATTCTTACGGATATATAATTACAAATGAATTTTTTAAAGATAATTATTTAATTTCTTGTTACCATTAAACTATATGATAAATTATTTTTATCTTTTAACTCATTAATGATTTTATGAGTTTAATTTTATAAGACTATTTTTAATTAAAAAAACTGTAACACTTTTTGTAAAATGCACAATTTGCCTGTTAATATTTTGTCAACATTTACCCGATTATTTTAGATTGAATTGTACCATGTATATAGGAGCACAGGTTTTCAATTTATAAGAAGATCAGGCATTCCATAAGCATATAGCTGTTATATGAAGAAAGTTTTTCCTTGAATCATTTCGTAGTCTATCGTCCTCACACGGTTTTACCAATGCAACGAGTTTAGCGGATACTGGATATAACCGGCGCTCACTAATGTGAAGCATTTTTTGGAGGCCGGATATAAACGGAGCTATTGTGAGAAGATTGATAATAACCACCAAAACATAAAATGCGTTCTTACAAATAGAGAAAATCATGAATATCCCCATGCAGCCAGTCCATTTACTGAATTTTGAGCCTGGATCAAAATACCAATACTCGACGGCTTTGTCCGCTAGGCCGAAATGCTTGTTGGAGGGCATAAATTACATGCAACTAAAGATGGGATGTATTTGCATTCCCTTTTATGCGAACCATCCAGTATGCACAGCAACAATTACCATGAAAACGTATTTATAGTTTCTTATGTATCGCATTAAGTGCGGACAATTATTGGTACTATCAGTTCGACTCTATTATTTACATATCAGATTAATAAATATTTGAGCTGAAAATTTTTGATACTTCAAAAATCGTATTTACCTTTAAATTATTTCAGTATTCTGAAATAAATTAAAGTATTCTGAATTGTTCAGTCTGAAATACAGTGTTAAGGAAAGGAAATAAAACAAGTTAACGTTTATCTCCACTGTAGCCACCAATGTTTTTTAAAAGCAAAATTCCTTAACATTCCTTTTTCGGAGAAGTTAACAGCATTCTTTTTCAAATAGGTGCTTTAAGCAGTAAAAAAAAATCCGTTCTTTTCTTTAAGCAGAAAAGCGCAATGACATCTCTGCTTTCAAAAATTATATGCTTGAGAGACCAGCAATAAAAGATATATCTCCAGAAATGTTAGAAAACAATTTTTTATTTAAAGAATTTAATACAAAGCATAAACTGAAAGGCTAAAATTTATCAAAAATGATCCCCTTTTTTTGTTCGTTTTATCCCTCCGAAAACAGTTTTGAAAAGCTGCCTTCATGGGACAATTTTTTTTATCTTCGCATAAAGGAAAAATTAAGAATAAATATTGGAAGAATAAAAGAGAAGTTAGAAAAACGAGTTGAAGAACTAATGTGTAGAACTTTAGCAAGCGATACAAAGCCCAGAATGAAAGGTATAAGTTTGACAAAGCTTTCAATAAACTTTGTGGGAAAAATTCTAAACTAAACAAGGAAAAAGAAACGGATGATTAGTGTTGAGAAACTTCATTTTCACGAAGCTTTAGCATAAGAATTTTCAGGAAGGTGAGGTAAATACAAAGAACCCATTTATCATAGAAGGCTTCTGTCAGACTCAAAGAATGAACCTCAAAAAACGCATAAAAAGTTACTTTCCAAGTGGTCTTCATTTTAATATTTACCATAACTTAATTAAAGCATTGATAAATAGTTTTATCTTTACGTAGGCAGATGTGTGGCAATGGATTTCTGGGAAGTTTTTCCTGTAACGCATTTATAGTTACTTTGCAAAGGAATGGCAATTAAGTAATTACTACTTATTTGTGTACCATCAAATTTTTTATTTCTTTGGAAATAAAATTTAGTGATAAATTGTTCTAGAAAGCACATTTTTTCTGCAAAAAAACTCTTAAACATAAAACTTTTAAATTATTCATAACATTGAAATTTAAATTTTATTCGCACAGGATGCCCTTATTAGAATGGAATTTATAGATCTAAACATTGGTCTTCCTCAAGTAACATTTTGCTGGAAATTTAATGAAATTTGAGTCACAATTTTTCATTCTATTTAGCATTAATAATATAAGTACTAGTAATTTATATATTCTATGAAATAATTGCTAAACGTATTAATAATTATATTTGATTAATAAAATATTAACGATTTAAAGATTCAAAAAAGGTTCTATAGTACATTATCGGATATTCCAAAAAATACAATATGAACATAGTTTTAAAATAATATGACAGAATATAAGGTCATCGGATAACAATAAAAATAATTTCAAGATTAATAAGGTAAGATGAATGAATTCAGTATATATAGTAAGCTATGTAATTCAATATACAATGTGCATACGTTTTGATTGCATAGGGAAATATGAAGAAAGGGTTATCATTGACTAGGTTAGATTAGACTATCTGAATATCGCAAAACACACTAGGGATATCTGCTTAACGGGAGGGCTTTTTAAGGAAAACTGGCTCGGATCCAAATGCGAAAAAACCATATAAACCAACCATGCCACCAGTCCTTACTCCTGGGTTCGAATCCGAGTGGAACTAGCAACATTCAGTGGTCTGATCAACTCGGCCACTAGTGGAGTATATCATAAACCCATAATTTTAGCTTAGGTAAGTTTCCAAATTTTTACTAATGTTTACATTAAATATGTGAAACTGAATGTTTTGATGACACATGTTTGATGAAGTGTAGTAATGAGATAAGCCTTTATCACAATAAAATTAATTAAACATAAAAAGGTTCTTTTTTTTATACGGTTAAAATTTACCCAACTTATCACTGGTTAAAGTTTTGAAGGATACTATACAAATACCTGCAGTAGGTAGTTATGCTTTTGCCTTTTTGAATGGAAATTTTTAAAAGATAGGTTTTACATCAGAAGGCAGATGAATGAAAACGAGAACTTAAAATCCCCATTCCAAAGAATGGTTGATTCGGAAATATTTTAGGTGATGCAATTCAGTTCTTCAGTTTGGCCATTAGCATACTGAATAAAGTGGTCATCGCATTAACTTTTGGTGGCATCTGAAATGTGTAGGTAACAGCTTGGGCGATTAAAGGTTGCTAACTCTGGCGACTAAGCCTTTTGGCTGTTTTAACAAGGAATTGTCGAAAAACATAAATGATCAGTTTTAAAATCGGATTGTAGCTTTTAATTCATATTAAATTTTTTATTCTTTATTTAATTCGTATAAAAGTTCCAAAATGTTCATATAAATATTCTGGTATCTAAAAAATTAAAACTGTTTATTTATGATACTGGAAGCAACAAAATATATACGAGGGATCAAAATATCAGTTATTAAAAAAGCATTGTTCTAAAATAATCTATTTTATTTGCTGACAGCAGAAAATAATTCCAGTATGCATTAGTATCGCTCTTTTTTCAAGAAATTCATTATTAAGGTACTTTTAAAGTCTTGTCCACAATTATATAATGAGATTATCGTTACATTATTGTGACAGACGCAGATCGTTAATTTAGCAAAATTCCTCATATATTGGAAAATAATAAATAAATGAAAGAATCAGTTTTGAATCGGAATTTAAAACTGTGCTAGTTGTTTAAATGTACAAATAAATCTCATGTAGTCTTGTATTCACAGAGCTCATGACAAAATGAGAGCGTTTCAAGAACTGTAAAATAATTACGTCTAAATTACATTAACAAATTAATTGCTATTAAATTACCTGTGGGTAGCTGTCCATGTCCAGTTGGGATTACCATCTTGTCTCTGCATCAGACAGTCAAAATGGATAATAGAATTTGGTAGAATAATCACTTGTCCTGATTTCGTTATTCCAGCGTCCCCAGAAACTACATTGTAAACAATGGTTGGTGGCACATCCGCTAAGGATCGAATAAAATAATCTTTGATTTAATATGTTCATATTTCTTTGAAATGTCTATGTTTCAGATTTTTAAGAACAAAAAAGAAACACGTTTAAACAGCAAAAACATTTTATTTCTTAAAGAATCGCATAACACTGAAATATTATGTTTACATTAGGATTTCTTGAATTAATTTCATATAACTTTTAAAACACAGGGTTATTAAAATGATTCATCAAATTTGAAATCCTTTCGTATTCAGGTAAAGTAATCAAATATCTTAGTGTTTGACATTCGAGCATGTAGACCTTTTTGCAATATGTCATATAGCAGACATACAAGTCCCACTTTCAACTTGATTAGTTTACAGCAGAAAGCGTTTTATGTTTTAGAATATACAAAGAGATTATTAATTTCTTTATACGAGGTTACGAGGTGCAGTCCAAAAGCGGTAAAATACAGATATATTCCTTCTGAACAAAGCATACTAGGATGATATCCGAATTTGCGAACATCAGTTCGCTTGGGTAAAAGCAAGAACACCAGGACAGGAAGAAGTGACCGACATACCACAGCTTCACTATTTGTTTCACAATCAGTTTATTTGCGCAGAAGGAGAACCACCAGATAAGCATAGAAAATTGTCATGCCCTTGTTGAGCAGAAATAGGATTCACACAATCTATCTTTTCTGACAAAGTACATAGATATTTCAAAGATGAAAGTATACAGACAGCTTTTTCTTTCTAGAGTATAATGACCGGTATGTTGTATATTATATTGTAATAAACGAAAGATGATTCAGAAAAAATTCCTTTTCAAGAAAGTGAGGGTTCCATCTCATTAGCCTAAAGAGGTAGTGGCAGTTTGAATGATGAGATTGACGTCATTGGATTGGCCGACATGCCAAAGATAGTTTAGTATTATTCAGAAGGCGATCAAATTCTTTCTGCTTTACGTCTGGCTATTTTTCCCTTTTGAGGGATATGTTAAAAACAATTTTTTATAGCTCACTAACAGCAACATTTAAGGAGCTCCATGACCACATTACTCTTCCGGGAATTACTAGTTTGGCCTTGAAATTTCAAAGTTCCCCAAATGTCATGAATAAGTGCTATTTTCTTGACTATAATTCCTAAATTACCGTATCTTGAACCCAGATGCTTTTTCTTCCAATATACATTCAACTCGAAATCGGATTGATTAAGATATAGCAGAAAATTTCATGTGTAACGAATGAGAAAACCATCCTTCAATACGAAATTTTACATCCACAACCCAAGGGCAGTAACAGTGTTTTGTGGTGCTCATTAAAAGGGATATATTACAACGCGTGTGGAAGAAATTGGGGTACAGTTTGGACCTGTGTCGTATAACAAGAAAAATTCTCATCGAATATTTATTGTTATTTTGACTAATACTGGAATATCTTTTAATTCATTTCAGGTAATAATCATTATTTCATTTGCCATATTTTATGAAATTCAGTGCTTTAAAACCCAATGAATCATCTGCAATCCTCTAAATTACATTCTCTTCATCATCAGATCAGTGTAGTTTGAATTCAATTTTACACAGAGTTTATATTTTTTCATTTGCCATATTTTATGAAATTCAGTGCTTTAAAACCCGATGAATCAACTGCAAACCTCTAAATTACATTCTCTTCATCATCAGATCAGTGTAGTTTGAATTCAATTTTACACAGAGTTTATATTTTTTGAAAAAGCATCTACGGTAATTCTATAGATTTCCATTTCTAACATACTGCTAAATCAGGAGTACTAGATCAGGTAAATTATAACTTAATATTAGAAAAAGAAATTTTTCAATAGCAATTAACATTAAAGATCGCAGCAATTCTCTCACCAAATACCTGTTTAATACACTAATAGAAGTAGAAACACGCAAGAGCTGTTGATTCCTTTTTGATGACAGATTCTCTAGTGGAGATCACTATTAAATGAGTCTAACTCTTGTCTGAGTCCAGTGAGAGCAGTGTTAACTGTGGCCGGATAATAGAAAGCAGTTATACGTGGCCAGATATTAAATAGCCTTATATTCAATTAAAAAACATTATTCAACTGAACAAAATTGATACATTTAGGATACATTAAACGTCTTTTAAATTTCTCTTTGTTAAATCGGAATATTACTTAAGGAAAAGAATTAGCACGTTTTAGAATGTTCTAATTTTCACACATAATATATCATTGTTCTGATTACTATTAAAATAATCCTTTTTTAATCCTTTCAATAGTATTAAAACTCTTACTTATAAGGGTAGAGTTTATATTTATGGTATTATATATATATATATATATATATATAGATACACATATATCTATTATATTTATGGTATATATTATATATATAATTTTTCTTATTTTTCGTGTTCATTGCAAAATAATACAGTTGAGAAAAATCAAATGAATAAATGAATGAAAAAATTTTGAAATAATAAAATGTCTGGGAATTTATGAAGATTTCTTACGTTCATTTACGAGCTCGTATTTTCAAATGTTTTATTTCTTTTTGTTTTACGTTACGAGTTACATAAGAAAACTTATTGAAAATATAATACATATACGAGTATACGTAATACATCTAAACTGTTTATTTTAATTTTAAGAAAACATTTGCTAGAAAGAACTGTATTTATTTATCAGCATTCTTTTCAATGTTTTTCATAATACCGCTAAATAATATCCAAAAAGAGGACAACTGAAGGTAAAATAACAATATATATTTTAAAATTGTTAAAATTAACATGTTTGCATCAAATTAAACTTTCAATAGGAAAGAATCAACGTACTGGTTTAAAAGAACAGCCATTGACTCCGAAGAGAAAGTCTTCAATTTAGTATGTGAATTTATTCTTTATCAGCCCGAAAACATATACTTGACATCTTAGAAGCGATTTTTGTAGAACGTACAATTATTATGAGAGTTCTTATTGCAATCATAATCCTTTCTTCGAATTATAAACTATCTTAGAACCTTCTGGTAAAAAAATAAAACGAGTATATAAATGTTTCCTTTATCTTTTATTACTTTAATTCTATTATACATAACTTATAAACTTATAACGTAACATGTAAAATATATTGATAAATCGATTCTAAAAGTATAAGTTCTAATAAGCTTTTCCCAGAATAACTACACAAAAGTAAGAAGTGCTAAGGTGTGGCTTGTTGCCGATAATCATTTATCAGTCAACGGAACCTAATTTTATAGGTTATTAATGATGCGAAACATAACAGTTCGTAGTATATATTATTCATCGAAAAACATTTTTCGCATGGGAAAATCGTCGTTCCTGTGTTTGTCATTTCATATGCACGTCAGCTACTACTTATGATTTATAATGGTTTTCTTTAGTTTGTTCTGAAGAAAAATGGATTCCTGCAATATTTATAGGGATTAAGATCAATAATATAGTAAATTATTCTTTTAGGTAATAGATAAAAAGATAAATTATTCATTCATAAGTATCGATACAAAATAAATAATCTTTCATAAGTAAGTGCCTTAAGTTTATTTTACAATATTTTATTGATATATTGATTAGATTTTACTCCTATCATGGAAAATGCTATTAAAATAGAATTCAGACCAGTTGTTACTAGGAGAAAATGCATCAAAATGAGTTTGGTAGATTGATTTATAGTTTATTTCCGCTTTCCCCGATGCCCGTGCTCTAAGTGCAACATTTAGCACATTCAGCTGCCAATCAAAAGCTGTAGAGATTGAATTCTGGTAAGGTGATAGCCGCTTTTACATATTTCGTGTTCTGAATATCCTGAAGTCTCTACAGCGATGGCGAGTGGATTTGATCGACTGGATCTCATTCCCCTCCCTCAAATCGCTGTTTAAATGGGGAAGAACGTAAGGAAATTTTTCCTTCCCCCACTGGTGAAACGATTCGGAAGACCGGAGAGTTCCTAACTGAATGTTCTTATTTCCTGCTCCCAAAAAGTTATGGTTTTACAAATTAATGTTTCAAAATACGGGAGAGATATCTCGTTTAGGAATGATGTCTTTATGGAAGAATTTTTTGAAAACGAATTGATTTGTATCTACATTACACGAAAGTAATATCACGAAACCTCCGAGCAAGCAACTTGTACAGCGACCTTTGAAAGGAACATATTATCATATTCAAAAACTGAAGTACCAGTTGGTTACTTGGAAGTTTCATGATATTGTTTCGAGATGGTGGAAATCTTCCTTTAGTCTTCAGGTATGTTACCCACTTCGTAATTGGTATTTTATTACGAAAACTGTCCTTTAGTATGCGAACTTACAAATTTAATTTTCAAATTTTATTTTAAATCAATTTTATTTTTATCAATAATGTATCAATTGATATGTATATAAAGTTTCTAGATAATTTCATTATTGAGCATATCATTATTGACCATCATTATTGATGCATAGCACAGAAACAGATAGTACCCAGAATTACGAGATACTATACTCACGTGAGAAAAATATGTACCTTGAAGCAATTTTCTGAAAATGACTTTAAATCTGGCATCTTAAAATTGGAGTTTCGTATCACTTTGAAATTTTCAGAGATTATAGTAATAATATTGCACATGCTTTTAAAACAATAATGATAAAGAATATTAATTAGATAATTTTGTATAACTTTTTTAAAATATGCTAGAGTACGACTTTAAATAGAGAAGAGATTTTTTATCCTTCGCGATTTTGGTTGGTCATCTTGTGATCACAGAGACTCGATTTCGACTGAGGTAGGTTTTCATATTATGTATTTATACGTCGCATAAATTCTTTTTTTTTTCTGCATTTTCATAAAAATAGTTTTTCTCTTTTTAGCATTGGTTACATTTATTTTTTTATCAACTTGATTTGTTTCCTTGCTGAAAAGAATTATTTGTAAAAAAATTACTCTTAATATAGAAGTCTTCTATCATTCATTTTACAAGTACTATTTCCTGTATTATTCCTTAGTATTCATTTTGTTAATTCTATTTTTTCTTTCCTATATAT